TGCTCGGACCCTACTGTGCACATACTCGCAGCAAAGGCACCAAAAGGTGTGCGCAAGCAAAGGGAAAGAGAACTTTGCTGGGACGAAGCCAAAAGGTGCCGCTGTGGCATCCTCTCCTCGTCGTGCCGAGCCCAGGACTTGAGGGCAAAAATTTGATTACAAATGTGTTTGCTAGGTAGGAACATCAATGCGGATTCCCTTTCAGTCCAGCTTTGGGTTCTGTCAAAGGCGCGGCGAAGAAGAAAGCGGCGGATTCTTCGCAAAGGTCAGCATGGCCCCCATGTGTTCATGTTGACTTGACGACGGGCTAGGCAGCGCTCTCACCTCTGCAACAAAGTTGGGGTCCAACAGCTTCTTGACCTTCTCTTGGTTGTTGTCGGGCACTAGAATACTGGCCTGAACAGCTGGTCGGTCGTAGTTGCTACGAAGCGGAGACGCGGCAAGGATTAGCAAGGTCGCAGCGTGTAAACCTTCGTCGTGGCGCTGGCAGTCACTCACTTCTTGAGCCAGCGTTGGAGGTTTGGCCCCAGATCGCTGCGCGGGATTCCCGCAAATGCGTGCCAAGCTGAAAAAGTAACGCGTGGACGTCAGCACACAGCTGCTTATTCTCCTCACGACAAATTTCGAGCTAGAGCAATGCGTGAGCATACTCACAAACCCAGCCGAAGGCGTTGATGTCAGCAAGCGTGTATTTGCCCTTGCCTTCGCCAACGAGCCAGTCACGACCCTGAAGTCGCTCCTCGAGAACGCTATACAGTCTCTTCGTCTCGTTTTGGTAGCTGTCGAATACGAGCGCGATACGAAGGTTCAGCATCAAGAGCATGCGTGATCTTCCTGCTACCAGCACTCACCGCTTGAGCGCATAAGGGATCACGTTCTTGCTCGCGCCTGTCGCTTGACCCCTGAAATGATTGGCTTGGCCTTGCATCGGGCCGACGCCGCCGTGAACAAAGTAGATCCATTGGAGAACCTGTAAGGTAATGGACGAGAGATGCTTCAGAGATGGACGTTTTTGTTTTCTTGCACGCGACTCACCTCGCTGCGGAGCTTGTCAGCGTTGGGGTCGCTAGAGGGCCAGCTGAACAGGTGCTTGGGATCGTACGCCTTCTCGAGCCAGAGCAAGATCGCGGCCGACTCAAAGACGTTGAAATTGTCATGATTCGGGTCAACGATGGCAGGAATCCTTCCGTTTGGATTGATCTTGAGAAAATCAGGCTTCTTTTGGGGCTCATCGGCGCTGAGAATGTCTAGGGAATGAGCATCGTAGGAGAAGCCGGGATAAGCAGCCTTGAGCTCTTCCAGCAAAGTGTGCACCTTGACTCCGTTGGGAGTGCTCCAGGTGTAGAGCTGAATAGGCTTAAAGTTGGAATCCACCATTCTGGTCAGCCTTGTGTGAAATGTGCGAGCGCTTCTCGGTGTTGGCGCCAAGGAGGTACTTCTGAGCGGTGCTTGTTTGAATCCT